GGTTGTGGATGAAAAAGAAGTTAAGGATGCTCTGTGGGACATGGACCCTGGTAAAGCCCCTGGTATTGATGGTTTCTCCCCTTCTTTCTTTCAATCTTCTTGGTCCATTATCAAATCTGACTTGTGTGTTGCTGTAAATAACTTTCTGTCTTCAGTTTGTATCCCTAAGGCAACAAACCACACTGTTATTACCCTCATCTCAAAGATAAAAAAAAATCCCCAAATTCATTTCTGATTTTCGACCTATTAGCCTTTGCACCATCACTTATAGATTGATTTCCAAAATTCTTGCTTTTAGGATTAAGAGTGTTATTCACCTTTGTATTTCCTAGTTCCAGACTGCTTTTGTGCCTGATAGGCAAATTCTTGATAACATAATTATGGCAAATGAATGCATCCACTACCTAAATAGCAAAAAAAGAGGGAAGAAAAAATTCATGGCCTTGAAAATTGATATGGCCAAAGCTTTTGATTGAGTAGAATGGTGCTTTGTTATTAAAATTTGTAGGCATTTGGGTTTCTGTGAGAGGTTTTTGAAATGGATTTGGTGCTGCATTAGTACCTCATCCTTTTCCTTCAATATCAGTGGCCAAAATTTAGGAAATGTGACCCCATCTAGAGGACTAAGGCAAGGAGATCCTCTATCGCCTTACCTTTTCATCCTTATTACTGAAGCTCTTCCAAACCTTATGCATAAAGCCAGCTACTCTCATTCATTCAAGGGTTTAAAAATCAACAAATTTTCCCCTAGCATTTCTCATCTATTCTTTGCTGATGACTCACTATTTTTTTGTCAAGCTGATTCATATCATGCATCTTTGCTTCTGCATATTTTAGATTCTTACTGTGCGGCTTCTGGCCAGGCTGTAAATCTCCATAAGTCCAACATTTTCTTCTCAGCCAATGCAACTTGGTAACGCAAAACACTCCGACCCGCTTGAAATCGGCTCGTCCTCCTCCTCCTCCTCGCCTGTAGAACGTAGCGTACCTACAAAGAACTCTCACACCGAGGGGTTTTTCCGGTGAAGAGCCTCTGATGCTTAAGTCAGTATGTGTTTCACTCAATTCTCAAGAGTAAAAATGGATTAATCGTAGGTAACAAAAAAGGCTCACTCGTATTTATATAGAAGTGAGATACCTGCCCTAGGAGCTGCCCGGATTTGGGGAGCTGTCTGCCCCATGCTTGCCCAGATCTGCTCGTCCGTACGCACACAGTGTGTGTGTGTGTCATAGGTAGTTATCGCCACTATCGCTCTGCACCAATGTACTCTCGCCACGTGCCCTTCTGAGCAGAGGGTAATTATTCCCTTGAATATTCCTTGGGAATTCCTGAGGAAGACCACGCGCTTCCTCACGTCTACATCACGCTCTCGATTGCTCTTCACTCGCCAGGTGGTCGATCAAATGAGCTCTCCTTTAGTAGGTCGATCTTCGACCAGATCTGCTCCAATGTTCGACCACTCCCTTTCGGTTTGCTATTGCTCGACTGACCCCGTATTGGGCTTGTACGACTGGTATATTCCTTAAGTATATAATATCCAATATCAAATATATTATACAAATAGCTTTATATTTAAAACTATAGACAAAATAAGAATGAAAGTAAAAGAAATGACATGATACATTGGGCTAAAATCAGGTTAATGCATGGGTCACAATTAAGTCAACTGGATCAACTTAAGTTATAAAACTAAGGTCTCACAAAACAATATCTGGATTGACCATTTGGCATTAGATTCAGGGGAAATTTACATGTCTATAACTCCTAGTCATCTTAATTTCATATTTACAGTAGAATAGAAGTTTTATCATATTAGGATTAGTAGATGCAAATAATATCAAAAATACGATTCATCACTTTAATCCCAAGGATCTTGCAGCCATCCACTCATTCGTAACAGATGCAATTAACCTCATATTTACAAAAAATCTTTCCAAAATTATGAGATATAATTTCATATTTATGGCGATCAATTTACAGAGCCCAATCCAGTCGACATCTCCCCTTCCTTTCTTTTTTTTTTAAAAAAAAATTACGATATGGGATTGGGAATAGAAAAAAAAAATCGGTCGAGAAAAAATTCGGTTAATCGACATCTTAAATTCGAAAAAAAAAAATTCGTCCAACCACCAAATATATTTTCAGATATAGTGTATATATACATCAGATAAACATGATCTGGTAGTTCTCTATTATTAAGGTATAGTTATACATAAGATAAACAACATATAAAAAAATTTAAAACGGGATTAAACATAATACACAATTCTGAATGACTGCAAAAATTCAAATCAAATGTAGTTATACATAAGATAAACAACATATAAACAATTCTAAAACGGGATTGATTGACCTCACCACTCCCAATGTTACCCCTTCATCTTCTCGACGAGCCCTGGTGCATCTTAGACATTGCACGAGTGAATCATAGCATTGCTCGAAAGCCGATCGACGGAATGACAAAAAAATCTAAAAAAGAAAAAAAAAGAAAAAAGAAATGGAGGAAATTGATTGATACTTGACGAATCGGACGGAGGAGGACGGACGGGGACGTCTCCTAATCTCTCAGCCGACACCGGCGGTAGCGGGCCACCAGGTGGGGAGCTACATGTTGCAGTCGAGTGTTGTCGAGGCTACGCAGGCGAGCCACGTATCAATCGCGGTGAGCTTCTGACTGAGAGATGAAGAGATGTCTCTGGGGGTGAATTTTTTATTGAAAGATGAGAACTGAAAGAATGAAATTAGGGCACACAATCATTCAGAACTTCTCTTCTTGTGGTTGCGAAACTGTTAGAGAGAGAGAGGAGGGGGGGATTGCGATGGGATATTAAATCTCTCGTATCGTATTTGTGATGAAAAGTTTAGCATTTCGTATTTTTAATATTATTTGCCAAATCATTAGTAAGGGGAGTAATTTTCTCTAGATTCAGTACACAAGACATTTTCTTTAAAATTTAAAATCACGTTGTGCATAAATTTAGAAATGTAAAAAATGCAAACATGGTCTGATTACCAAACATTTGAATTGATCATTAACAACTTCCAAATAAAATCCATTGTGTATAAAAATTAATTATGGAAATTCATAAATTAATATTTTGATTTAAACTTAAATTGTTTTAAAAGTAATACACACATTTAATAGTAACAGAAATGCTATGAAGCCATCGGATGGTTCCCTTATGGAGTCATCCATAACTAAAGGTATTGACATGTGTCCATTGCAGTGTTTTAAAACGCGTATAGCGTAATGCGTCCCGTTTTGGCCTTTATACTGCGTAGCATAAATAGCGTTGTGTGTCGCATAAGCTATTAGAGTATAAATTATTTTTATAGAAATATTACAAATATATTTGCAAATAATAAAACTGGATGGTTGATTCCAAAATTATCATAGTATTTGAATTACTTCAAAAATAACATCTAAGATTTATTTCTCACAAATGTTAATGTAAATATCATAATATAAATATTTAAATAATAAATCAAATATACTAAAAAGTGAAAACAAACAACGAAAATATAATGAGGTAAATCATAATTTAATTTTAAGTGTATGCATTTTAATTATTATTTTTTTATTTAACAACTTAATTCTAACCATTAGATATGAACTTTTTTATTCTTTATTTAAATGCAAATATCGAAAAATAAAATGATATAACAAAAATGGACCAATAAATATTGCACTATTCAACTTAGAACTTTACATTTTAAAATTTTAATTTAAAATCATTATCAAAATTTTCAGTTTTTAGTTGTTATTTGTAAATATGACTCTCATCCCTAAACAATACTAGTTTTTGAATAATTTATTGTTTGAATGTCGTTCGAAAAATATAGCGTAATGTAGCGCACAATAGCGTGAAATAGCGTAAGAAAAAGTGTCATTTCAACATTTCGCGTAAGCTTTTCGGGGAAAACGCTAAATTTATAAGGCTATGTCGCGTTTTTTGAAAAAAAAAGTTATATAACGAGCTATTTAAAACAATGGTCCAATGTGTATAACACTTCTACAGAAAAAATATACATTTTCAAATTAATTATATAAACTAAACTAATTCATAAAATTATTTTTAATTACGCACGTGTCTTTTACTAGTTTCAATAAAAGACAAGGTTTTATTTCGATAAGATATCATATGATTAATCAAGAACTGCCACAATTCAACCTGTTTTCCATTTCTTTATACATACAAGATCATTCTTGATTTACCGGTGCATCCCAGGGTTATGTAAAAACCACGACAGTAACTGGGCATATCATCTATTTCAGGCACAGTAAATACAGATGAAAACATGGAAGATAGTCATCAAACAAATGAGTTCAAAAGGAATTTCAAAGTTCAGACACCACAGTTGGTTTCCAAAACCCATAAAACCTATTCAGCTTACAAAGCCACTGCACAGCATATATATCAAGAGCTTCTAATTAAGCCTATCACAGATGGTCAGTAAATACAGATAAAAACAAGGTTGGTAGTCATATAAAACAAATGAGTTTAAAAGGAATTTCAAAGTTCAGACACCACAGTTGGTTTCCAAAACCCATAAAACCTATTCAGCTAGCAAAGCCCCTGCAGAGCATATCAGAAACTTCTAACTAAGCCCATCACAGATGGTCCATATGATTGTTTTCTCTACCACCTTTTGTTTTACATTCTGAAAAATAAGAGTACGCATTTGAAAACACAAAAGAAAACCAATTAAACACACTTACAGCTTGTACTTGTGCAGGGCATCTCCATATCCTGAAGCCGAGCGCATATTAGCTCTACGGACAAGGTAATTTTTCTCTCGACATTATTATCATCAAATGCAATTCAATCACTAAAGCCAGTCCCTCCAAACAATTCACCACATTTACACAAATAAGGTACAGTTCCAGAAAAAGTGAGCAACATTTAACTTGAACAAGCATGACTACTAACCTCTCATCATCAACACATCCAAACAGCTGCAAAGGAAATCCTACTTTTCACGGGCTATAGAGAATTTTTTACTCTGTCAAGTAACCGGAACCACCATCATCCGACTCTTCATTCTCGCTCTCACTCTCAACTTGCCTGCTCACAAACCCATTATAGAAATCCAGCACCTTGGGATGCGCCTTGATTTTCGAAGGGTCGAGACCAGACAAGTACAGCCCACCCAAACTCCTCACACGGGAAAGCGCCACATACACCATCCCGAAATCAAAAACCCTCGACAAATCCGTGTGGAGCTTGTCGAGCGTCATCCCTTGACATTTATGAATACTCAAAGCCCACGACAAGATAAGCGGGATTTGCCTCCGCGTGGCCACAACCTTATCCCCTTCCATCACAACCCACATCTCAGGCTCCACAACTAACTCAAGCCCAGAATCAAATTTCACGAGCGGCAGCACACAGCCCTGCTCACACATCTCCCCCAATTTGTACTCCTTCTCAGAAACTCTGCAAAGCTCCAAAACTGTACCTGTGGCCCCATTCACAAGCTTCTTCCAAGGGTTCACGTTCTTTACCAGCATAACTCGAGCTCCAACACAGAGCTCAAGCTCATCAGGCGCAATCCCGCTCCTCAGCTGCCTCATCCACTTCTCTTCCCCAACGTCCTGAGCTCTGTACACATAAACCTCCTTCCCCAGCTTCTCTAGCTTCTCCTTATTCACCTTGCTCACGTCAGCAATCCTCGGGTAGAGACGAACAGCTTCAGGATCAGGCTCGTAACCCGAGCAGCAACCTTCTAGAAGCTTCAGGTCATCAAGATTAGTCTCCCCCTTCCTAATGCCCTGCAACAGCTGGATTAGCAGGGAGTCAGACTGCCTGAACACTTTTGTCAGCTCAATCTGCAAATCGAAACTCGAGCTCCAGCAATCTGCCTCAAATGCGTACTCCTTGGCTCCCTTCTTCTTCTTCTTCGAAACCGGGGGCAGCTGGAAAAAGTCCCCACTCACGATAAGCTGAATCCCGCCCCAAATCTGGTCTTCAACATCTGGATCGTCAGCGGATCTGATAGCTCGGGCCATGTGCTCGAGGCTGTCAAAAAGGTTGGGGTCTACCATACTCGTCTCGTCTATGATCAGAGCCTTGACCTTTCGCCACCTGTAGCAGGCACCCTTGTCCAAAAGAACCCTCTCGAGGAGGCTGTGGCAGTCGAGTTCCCCGAGGCCGACGCCAGCGAAAGAGTGGAGGGTTTGGCCCTTGAGGGCACAGGCGGCCACTCCGGTAGGGGCCGTGACGTAGACTTTAGAGCGGCCGTGGATTTTACGGAGCTTCTTTATGACGTGCTCGAGAAGGAAGGTTTTCCCGGTGCCGGCGGAGCCAGTGATGAATACGGAGTGGCCGGCGCAGACGGCGTCCACGACCCGTTGCTGCTCGTCGGTCCACTTGATTTTGGGCTTGGGAAGGGGTTTAGGCCCGCCGTGCTTTTTCTTACTCTTGAAGAAAGGGAACTTAGAAGGCTTCTTCTGGAAGAAGGCTGATTGGGTGCTGAAATGCCGATACGCGGCCACGGTGAATGAGAAGATCGATTTCATAGTGGCTTCTAATTCTCTTCCGCTCCAGCAATATAAAGAAATGCCAAGACAGTGTTTTGCTAAGATTTTCCACAAATTGGAGAACGATGAAGCTACAATGGAGCAGTTATTGATCCAGCGCACAGAAAAAGGGGGATAAGATGGGATGGGATTTTAGCAGTTTTCGCAGTTGCAGTGGTGGAATAGGGAAGTGGCGAGAAGAACGTTGCCTGATGTAGGTTTTCCCCTTTGGTGCTGTTACGCTTTTGTTGGGCTCCGGATCATGTTGGACCCACCACCTTCTGGGCTTCTTAAGTTACAAATGGGCTCATGGGGTATGATGTATTGATTTGAGTAGTTTTATATACCATGCTATTTGTTTCATGTAAATTTTACATAATTATGTTATAGGATTTGTCTACAATCTCGGAATGATTCGTGAGGAATTTTAGCCATCAGATAAAATAATTGTAGACAATAATTGTATATCTGATGGCTAAAATCCCTCAAGGAATCATTTCGTGACGGGACTGTAGACAAATCCTATGTTATATCTACTTTGTTTATTAGGACATGTAGTTATGTAATTAGTAATATGAAAATAATATATATTTAGAATTTTAGTAAATTTATATTATTACAGTTTATACTTAATATTGTATGTTGTGAAATTTAGGATAGTACTTGCCCTACTATTTTATTTGTTTCACATACTATTCAAAAATATATTTTAATGTTGTTCAATCTTATTGAAATAGTTTGTATCTCCTCTATTAATTTTTCCTTTAGTGATAAGTTAATATTTTGTTTAACTATTCAAATATATTTTGTTTAGGTTTTATTTTTGAAAGAGTTTTGTTTTTGATAGAATCCTATTGTATTGAGATATTTAATTGAGATCATAATTCATTGAGATACTTAATGGTTTTACAGTTTTGCCATTAAAAATAATATAAAGATAAGGACTTTTTAGTCCATGCAAATTTTTACAAAATCATTCCTCTTTTTATAACAGTCCATAAGGGAGCCATCTGAGGGCTCCATAGACTTTCTGATGGATACGGATAATAATATCTTCAGTAATTTATTAGTTATCTTCGACCTTATCACTCTAACAATGCATTTGAGAAGTGAGAAGCTAATCGCGTGTATAAAGAGTGCACTAACAAAAAATAATTTCAGTTTGAACATTGATGGGAGACATTGAGAACAAATCCAAAGTGGTGCATGAAAAATATGACAAAAAAAGAATGAGTTCAGTGAAGGAGTTTATCCCACAGACAAGGGCACATCATATGTACATATTATCCCAAATGATAGTCATGATGTGGATTGTACCGGTGAGATTAACGAGACTAATGGCATTGTGCGTCCCCAGGGAAGAAAGGAATCTAAAGAGAGTAAAAGGAAAACCAATGAAGATGCTAGTGTGATAGATGCTATAAAAGGTTTGCGGTCTACTTTTGAAAAAGAAATTGAGTTTAAAAGGGAGAGTAACAAAATGGAATTTGAATTTAAGCATCACATAGAGAAAGAAGAGATAGAAGTTAAGGTTGCTGCTGAAAAAAGAAAACTAAAAGACCAAGAACTTCGCGAATAAGCTCAAAGGAAGGAAGATCGGCAAAAAGATAAAGAATTGCACCCAAAAGAGCATCTTGAGAAGAAAGATCAAAAGAGAGAAGAAAACACACGCAGCCAGCGGCCGACGCGCACGCAACACCTGACGCGCGACCCGACCATCTCCCAACCGCATCCTGAAACCCCGTGATCAACCAAGGAGGCCAAGTTCGGCTGCCCAACGGACTTTGCGGTTCAAAGAATCTTCTACAGAGAAAATCTACAACGTCTTAGAGTCGGCAAAATTTTAAACGGTAAAGTCCTAATCCTAACTATAGATTATGTTGCGTATATTTAATTCTTTAGATTCGGATGTGTACATCGATAACGCGTTCCTAATAGAATCCAACAGAGCCTAACCCACTCCATTCACAATTGCATAATATTTTAGTCTACAATTCTCCATTTAGCCACCGAATTATAAATAATTCATCTCCTCACTAATTACTTGATTTATCTCCCCATGTTTAAGATCTAACGTCCGTTGATTAATTTAATTATTAATTATACAATAAATAAACTTCTATATCCGAAATTAGTACCACTCAATTCTTTATTATTATGTCAAAAATAAATCCGCCTGCAAGAACATAATAATCTTTTTTGAGTTTATTTCGGGGACATCAATGACCCGATGCACGGGACACAGTGACTGTAAAAAAATTCAATGGTACATCATGTAATCAAAATTATCTACTAAAATACCGAGTTTATTAACTCACCGAAATAAGTGTCGCACTAGGTAAATCAAATAAATAATAACTGAATATATATGCTCATTTATTATCATGCGGATTAAGAAAATGCAACAATTACTAAGATCTAGAATATTTACTTGGTCAGTATAAAATATTCTTATCCTCTTGTATGTCCGTTTACTACATCCGAGATATACTAGTATAATTCATTAGTTAAAGCTCAACTAACTCGAAAATCACACTACAACCTTTCATGAAAGTTGGTTCAATTATGTATGCGAACAAATATTTAAATTTTATAAGGAACCGATAAGATGATCTTTCTATTCAACACAATCAAACCATATAATCTACAATGTAAAATAAATTAACTAAGTTAGCATACATAAATAAACTGCAAACACACACTTGACTAAAATATGAATTTCATTCAAAATGGTATTGTCAGAAACTGTAAGCCGAGCATTTACAGTATACCCTAATAGACGACTTGCCAAAAAGTCAAACCAGGAATATTGGAATGGTATTGGTATGCTTTTTATTACTATTATTATTATTATTATTATTATTATCATCATCATCATCATCATCATCATCATCATCATCATCATCATCATCATCATCATCATCATCATCATCATCATCATCATCATCATCATCATCATCATCATCATCATCATCATCATCATCATCATCATCATCATCATCATCATCATCATCATCATCATCATCATCATCATCATCATCATCATCATCATCATCATCATCATCATCATCATCATCATCATCATCATCATCATCATCATCATCATCATCATCATCATCATCATCATCATCATCATCATCATCATCATCATCATCATCATAATGGGATTTTTAATTATAAAATTATATTTAGTATATCATTTAACAAAAATAACTTGAAAATTTGTCACCACCTTGCATCACACTGGTTGCACACTAGTTATATTAAAGTTATGTTTGGTACAAATAGCAGATAAATTAGCTAATAAATTAGTTGATAACTTAGAATTGAATTTCGAGCTTATAGCTTATGGTTGAAAACCTAGCTGATATGATAAAAGTATTGGATAAAATTAGCTAATAAGTCTGCTAAAATAAAAAATTTCAATGGGTTTCTTTGAAAAGCTATCAAAAAAAGGTTATGAGATAAGCTCGACTTTTTTTAAAAAAGTTAGTCCTACCAAATAAGGTTATTTTTATACAGAAAATTTATAAACTAAACAAATAAACCATAAGATAGCTTATGGTGCTTACAAAAGATACTAGAAATTTTTAAATTAGATAGTATGAGATTGTTTTAGAGAATTATTTACCTCTCCTACACGCTTTACAAGTAATTGCATACATACTAGGCAATGAAGAGATTTTGCATTACTACCTAAAATCTAGCAAATAAATAAGATTATGCATAAAGATAGGTTACAAAAAATAAAAACGCATGAATCTTTAATTTTGTAATTGCCTCCATTAGGATTAAAAAGAAAAAAAAAAAAAAAGAAAAAATCATATGTGATATGGGGAAAAAATATACATTTATTAGGCGACACGTGGCTCGGGAGAATAAAGACACGTGTACTCCGAAGACCGTTATTGTCCAAGGTCAAGGCTGAAGCCCAACCTCAAGATAGGCCTAAGGACCCGAGGAGTCTCACCTTAGGCCCAAACGCCTGAGAAGTCTCACTATAGGCCCAATGTCTAAATATGGCCCAACTGGTGGACCATAGTCCACTAAGCCAATGGGCTGGGAAGTCCTCCGTCTGCATAGAAAAGACCTAGGTCATCCTACCTCTATAAAAGGATGGCCTAGGTCAAGGTAAAGGATATGTTCTCTTCTCTATGCATTTTACAGCCACCATCTGAAAAACCTAACACCAACTCTAACTTAGGCATCGGAGGATCTACTTCTGGGGACAACCCCGGGGTTCTGTTTTGCAGGCATCGGAGCAAAGGAGATGACTTCAAGTGGACATCGGAGCATCAATCGTCGCCACGTGTCCTCTGACTAACGTCAGGTAATTCTTGTATCATCAATTGGCGCCGTCCGTGGGACTTACGACTTAGGAAGAGGATTCGTGGCGATACGGAAGAGAGGTGAAACCAGTCGAGGGACGCGAGGCGTTTCACGACATGATCAACCCCAAGAAAGCCAATCAAACTCTGAGGCTAACCCTAGCCAAGACCAAAGTTCGCAAGGTCCGGCGGCCTCGGAGACAGAGGCCGAACGACTGCAGAGGGTCGAAGAAGAACTCCTTGAACTGAAGACCCTGATGAAGGGTATGATGGAAAAAGAAGCATCCCAAGGTCAAAAGAATCGAGAAACTAGCGATGGCGAAGGTTCTAAAGCCCCCAATGATGAAACCGAGGTCAGATCCAAAAGAGACCTCGAGAGAGGAAATTTCACACATGAGGATGGCAACCTTAAGCAAAAGCTTGAGGAGATGAATGAAAGGCTCGGAGTGGTGTGGAAAGAGGTCAAAAAGCCGACGTTGGATATTTTCTCACCCACCGAGTCCCCTTTTGTTGATAGCATCATGAAAGAGGAAATCCCCTCTAGCTTCAAGATGCCTCAGATGGAGAATTACGATGGAACATCGGACCCCCGTGACCACCTTGAGAATTTCCAAGCTCTCATGATGCTTCATGGGGAGACCGATGCCATCAAATGTCGAGCGTTCTTGGCCA